GGGCTGAAAGACGCTCAGGATCAGGATCAGGATCAGGATCAGGGGTGGCCTAAAATATCGGTGAGCCCAATGTCCCTCTCTCTGTTGCTTTGTATCTGTCTCTGAGACGCGCACACGTATACAGTACAGGTCGTACAGGTCACCTGGTTCCCTTGCCTTATGTTATGTTGGGGGGCAGAAGCTTGCCGTGTCTTGTCTTGTCTTATCTTATTCCTCTTTTCTTACCTGTAATTTCTTCTCTCCATTAATTGATCTTTTTTCTGAAGACCTTTTTCATTGTCTGCTGTTATGAGCGTCGTGATCATGTTTGACTCTTCTTTGAACGGTGGTGGTTGTACGGGATGTGCAAAGATATTGGAGTATGAGAAGAGGCAGGCCGTGGAGTTACTGGTCAATTCTGACGATGGTAAGTGTTGCTCTCATATCGTCGACACTTGAGACAAATGGGGCCATGTCCCTCCTATCCCCGTATATCCTTCATCTATTATCGAACATGTACTCAAGCTCAAGTGGCTTAGGCCATTCAAGTCTACCCAAATATCTCCTCCTATCTTCGCAACTCTCATCACGTCTTGAGCAAGTCTTCAGGCCTCTTCTGACTTACAATCAACAATATTCCCCTACAGGCTAGTGCCGATTTACGGGGCACCGGATCGTGTGGCTATTGATCCCGCAAAGGCTGGCCAAGTGGCTGTGCACTCTTCCATCATCCAATCAACGATCCAACATGACAAAAGGCTGTGGCGTATTTGCCCATGATAGCCAGCAATTGAGAGACAATCTCAACACTCTAGGGGCGTTCAATTGCGAATACTCAACCAAAAATGACACAATTGAGCTCAGCGGCTTTGTCTGTGCTTTTTTGAAGCTTTGGTTCATTTCCTGGACTTTTTGCCAGGGAGAATAGGGAGAGACCCTGGATCTGGCGATTGCGCAATCGCGTCATACCTGGCCCAATTTCTGAGCGGTCTCGGCGCTGGAGCTTCAGCGCTGACTCTTGTTATCTTGCTTATCCACAACACCACAGATAATTGTATTCAAGTTGGCGATAATCAAGAGTGCGTTTCTTGTGTCAAATACTCATTCTCTTATCTTTATTTGCCTTGTCACAAGCAATCACTTCGCACGCCATCTTCTTCCTCGAGACCCCTGTCTGCCCCTCCCTCGACATCCTCCACCGCTGCTCCGACCTCCAAGCTAACAAGCAGCTTCCAGACACCCTCACGATGCCTTCACGGACGGTATCACCTACAATGTCACCAGGCCCCTCGTCTCCGATTCTCTCGCCCCTCGAAGCCCCTGAAGATCCTGCTACAAGCCCCGACCTCGTCCATTCTTTGTCCCATACAAGCACCGTCCTCGCTCTCGCTGTGAGTCCACAACACGAGACGATCTATGCCGGTACACAAGACGGAGAGATTGTAGCATGGTCTCTTGACACATTCCGCCAAGTCCGCCGCGTTCAAGCCCATAAGCGTAGTGTCCTATCCTTATCGTTATCGCCCGATGCGTCCCTCCTGTTTTCGAGCGCTGGAGACCCCATCATCAATGTCTGGGATCCAAGCACCTTGACGCGACTTTACGAAATTTACGGCTCCTACGACGTCGGCGATATCTTTTGTACTGCATACAGCCCCCAACATGAGACATTATACATCGGTGCACAAAACGCCACCATTCAATGGGTTGGCCTCAACGACGTTACAGCTCGTGTGTCCCCCGAGTCACAGCAGCATCCTGATCGACGAAATCATCGCTTTTTCGACTCCAAAGCTGTTGGTGGTGGCGCAAGTACGCCCCGGCGAAACGACGATCGATGGGGGTTGATCCCCAAAGCACACACTGTTCTCGAGATGCATGCAGGCTGCGTTCGAAACTTTGCCCACTATGGGTATGTGTACTGTATGCTTATGGCCAAGGGACCAACGGTCGATGTTGGAACCGACGATGATGTCTTGATCTCTGGCGCGGGTGACGGCACAATCAAGCTTTGGAGCCTTGGGCATACTGTTGAGGATGACGAGGAGCTCAGCGGTGGTATCCAGGAAATCATGACACTGGGCTCTGACGACGGCGAGTCTGTCCTATCTCTGGCACTTGACAGCTCGTTTCTTTACGCTGGAAAGCTTGACGGTATCGTTGAATTATGGGATCTCGATACCGCGCAGCGATTGAGGGTTATTAAGGCTCACGACTGTGATATTATGTCGATACAAATGGGCTGGGGATATTTGTGGACTGCCGCAACTAATGGTTGGGCCAGCGTGAGTACTCTTGTTAACCATGCGCAACTTGTTACTAACAGTTTCCAGAAATACAGCACCACCCACTACGGCAAATACCAACATGCCTCCTCTGGAACCGTTCCCCAGAAGTATCAGTGCCTCCTGAGATGGGAAGCTCATCAGGGCAAGGTCCTCGCATCGGCTGTCACGAACTACAAGAACAAGCAATACTTTATCACCGGTGCCAACGATGATAATATCTCGATTTGGTCCATAGACACCGATAAGTGCAACAGTAAAGAGAAAGAAGTATCGCAAGCTTCAGACAACCTCTTACTGTCGTCACTGCGAGAATTTGTGTCATACAAGACAGTCTCCTCTCGCCCTGAGTTTGCGGAAGACTGTCGCAAGGGAGCTACCTATCTCGGTGCTCTGTTCAAACGTCTCGGTGGTCACGTTGAGCTACTCAGCACCGAGAAACACCACAACCCTGTCGTCTACGCCCATTTCTCAGCCAAGAAGGAGGCTGCTGAGAGACGGAAGCGAATTCTCTTCTACGGCCATTATGATGTTGTCGCTGCCGACAGCCGTAAAGGAAAATGGGAGACTGATCCATTCACGATGCAAGGAACTAACGGTTACCTGTATGGTCGTGGTGTCAGTGACAACAAGGGTCCCATCATCGCTGCGCTGTATGCGGTGACTGATCTTATGGAGAACCAGCAACTGGAGAACGACGTCGTCTTCCTCATTGAAGGCGAGGAAGAGTTTGGATCATTAGGCTTTGAGGAAGCTGTCAAGAAGAACAAGGAGTTGATCGGCGAAGTGGATTACATCCTGCTTGCCAACAGTTACTGGTTAGACGACGAAGTCCCGTGCTTAACCTACGGTCTTCGTGGTGTTTTACACACAACTGTATGCGTTGACGCGCCCCGTCCTGATATTCACTCGGGTGTCGACGGCTCCTACATGATGAATGAGCCTCTCTCAGATCTCACTCAGATCCTTGGCAAGCTCAAGGGCCCTGGTAACCGGGTACAGATACCCGGCTTCTACGATGGCATTCTTCCGGTGACGCCTGAAGAGGAAGCGCGCTACGACGATATTGCCCAGATCTTGATCCGCAGCAATCCTGAAAAGGGCCCCGAGGAGAGGCTCAAACAGTCGCTGATGGCAAGGTGGCGCGAGCCCAATCTGACACTCCACCGATACAAGGTTTCTGGTCCTGATGGAAGTCTAGTAAGCAGTCATGCCAGTTCCCACATCAGTCTGCGCATGGTGCCAGGACAAGAAGTGGGCAGCGTGATTGAAGCACTCGTCAAGTTCCTCGAGAATGAGTTTTCTCAGCTTGAGTCACAGAACAAACTGACCATCAACGTCGACAACAGAGCTGAACCATGGCTTGGAGACCCTACCAATGCCATCTTCCAGACACTGGAGAAGGCCATCCTGGAGACATGGGATGAGTGTTTTGAAACGTCGCCCTCATCAGGTGAAGCTACACCAGAGCCCGAAAAGGCAGAAAAATCCAAGGAGGAAGAAGTTTTGTCCGTCAAGACCAAGCTTGGCAAACCCCGTAAGCCGCTCTACATTCGCGAGGGTGGATCGATCCCAGCGATCAGATTCTTGGAGAAGGAATTCGGAGCTCCTGCAGCTCATCTGCCTTGCGGACAGTCAAGCGACTCGGCTCATCTGGACAACGAGCGGATATGTCTGCTGAATCTATTGAAGGCTCGTGAGATTTTTGGCAAGGTATTCAGTCGACTGTAAGACTGGTGAGACAGCGGGCGGGGCGGAAGTGAGATATGGAATTTGGTGTATTTTAAAAAATGGAGAAATGTAGAAGAATGATACCCTTGTTTGTGGAAGTCAAGCAATATCCTGGTGGATATGCATGGAAACCCACCCACATGCCAGCTCAGCTCAGAGAAAAGGTAAGGCTGATTGATTGGGATCCTACTCTGTACGGAGTCAACGTTTCCGTTGAGGATCGCCTCACGTACCTAGTCTAAGCTTTTGCCAAGCCTTGGACTTTGGTAGGGCTGTGACTGATTATCCGTTCAGATGATAAATATTCTTGCCACGGATGAGTATATCATCCATTTATCAACAATGACTGATCTCACTCAGAAACCAGCATCGACACAAGCCACAGAGCCCCCGGCTGATGAATATCCGATCGGTTCCTCCTAAAATTAGCGCGAAAATCACCAATCAAGGCTCCCTCGGGACGATTTACTGCGCCATGGACGGATGGGGCTGGGGAGGGTCGATCCTCGATTGTTGCTCACGCCTGATGCTGAGATGGGTTTGGTGCTGACTGAAGGATCGACCAAGGTAATTAAATCACACCAAACCAAACAGCTCATAGTCGCAGTGCTATTCCACTAATTCCGTCATAGTTTTCTAGGTTCCGATAATTTAGACACTAAACCCCCCCCCCAGAACCCGGTTCCGTCGTCTTCTCCCCCCCCTGTTTTTTCCTCCCTCCCTTCTCCTCTTTTTTGCATCATCACATCCAACATTTTAAAACAAAACATCACCATTCGTTATTCTTTTTCATTTTTTTTTTCTGTCATTCGCTACAATACGGGCTGGGAAGTGTTAATTTATCGTCCTTCAAGAAGTAAATGTCTATCGGCTTTTGAATGATTGATCAATCAGCAATTGTTTTGCATAATTAGCCTGGTTGGGTGGCTTTTCCAGCTGAAAACCAGGTTCCCTTCTCTCTCCAAAGAATCACCAACCAACACAACCGCCCAATTGGCATCAAACATGGCGTCGCGTTGGTTCACGCTCCTCCTCCTCCTAACGCCTTCATTGGCTCTCAACAACAATTTCGACTTCTACCCCCAGGGCGCGCAGAAATGTCTCTCCCAAGCTGCCGACAACGCCTCGTGCACTGGCGCTGACAGCAAGGAGCTGAACTACTGCCTCTGCGGCCTTGGCAACTACAACAATGACTTCATCCTCGGCTCCGCTGCGTGCATCGGCAAGCAGTCGCCCGGTGATGTGGATGAGACCTACGATACCATGAACAAGGCGTGCTCCAATTCGCAGACGCCGATGAAGGTTACCAAGAAGGAGTTTGAGGATGCTGCGGAGAAGGGCGCGAGTTCGAGTTCGAGTTCGAGTATGACTACGACTACGACTACTGATGCGGCTACCTCTTCGACTGCTTCTGCGACGGCGACCGATTCGGCGAGCACCACGAAAGACACTGCTGCTGCTGCTACTACTACGACGAGCACTGAGAACAAGGACGATGATACGGGCTTGTCAACGGGCGCCACAGCGGGAGTAGCCGTTGGCGCAGCAGCTGGTGGTGCAGCGTTAGTAGGCCTCCTCGTGTGGTTCTGGATGCAGCGCCGCAGGAAGAACGCCGAAGAATCACACCCCATGCTGCCCAACCACGAGAACCGCGATGGTTCGCCTTACCAACCTACCGAGCCGAAGCCAGCGTGGTCAGCAGCGGGTTCACCACAGCAAGCAATGGGGACACCGGATCCGAATGCTGGATTCTACAAGCCCCCTGAGCCGGTGGAGCTGCCGCCTGAGCCAGCGCCTGTTTACGAGATGGACGGGACGGGTGCTGCGGTTGAGATGGAACATACGCCTGTTGATCCACGGGGAAATAGATCGCGATTGAGTTCGTCGCATTCGTCAATATCATCGGGATGGAGGGATTAATGGTCTATAAAAGAATGAAAGAATAATGGTTCTGTATGGGTATAAATGAGGTTATAGCCTCGTGGAGTTTGGACGGACGGTACAGGATGTATCATATTGGTTGCCATTTAGCGTAGATATTTGACGGGTTTATTATATTTTATTCTTTGATGGAGTGATTGTTGGAATTTATCACGGTTGTGGTGGTTTCCTCGCATGCACCGGTTAATGAGAGGGTTCTTGCGATAAGAGATCCTCTCGCTGTAGGTTACACTACCTACAGAGTATACTGCCTCAGAACTCCTAGTGTCTTCTTATCTCGCCACACCAGACTATCTGTTCTCAGCCGAGCAGCGAACCGTTCGTTCTTATCTGCACCAGCCATGGGGCTTTGTTCAATTTCTTAAACGTGGTCGCCCATCTGTAAGGCACGCAGTGTACGCCTATTGACTCAAAGCTCAAGCAAGGTCTGGCCCCCAAGCCTGCCTCCTTTCTTGCGCGATAAGGTTTGAAGCCTACATGCTTGGCGTGCAGGCGTTAAATGAAAATTATTACAATCCAGGTAAAGTTTGTTGTTACCGATGGAAGAAATGCGAAGCGAAGTCCATTTTCTTCAAATGATATCTTGCCGTGTCCGTTTCTTCCGGTGTTGTATCAACAAGATGCGGCTCCAAGTCGGCACTTGGTCTGCATTCATCTTGTTGGTGTCGGCGGATTGCAAGATAGTACAGTGATACTCTTGCAAGTTGGAGCTGGGAGTCTTTGTCGGCATCAATTGGCATCAAAGTCTTTTTACGAAATGGTCAGAAGGGTCTTGAATGCTACAAGTCCGACAAAGCGCCCGTCTGGTGGTGGAAGCTCGCAAGGTGTAATGTTTCCCTGCGCAACACGCTGAATTGGCAATTATATGCACAAATCTCTGGGACTATCGACTACGTAATCCAGATTTTAACCATTCCCAACTCCTCACCCTGGTCATGCGACGTGATCCTTCAGCGAACCTCGGCTGCCCCAGGTTGTTCCATCTCCGTTCATCTGCATCCAATCGATGATCCTTCATAAGATCCCGGGACGTCAGGATTGAGGCCTGCATCCTGAGCTTAAAGGTAGTCTCAGCTTCCACTGTTATAGACAATGAGGTCTATTCTAAGAATGTGAAGAGACCTACGTGAATGTTGTAAATGTAATGCATGTTCAGCCCATTTGAATCGGAGGTTATTCATAAACGACGCTCATTCTTGCTCGGTATTGAAAAGTCTAGGGTAGCATTTGGATGTGTATACGAGGCAATATGCTCCCCGCTTCCAAGACCAAGAACTCTCTACCATCAACCATATACGTTTAATAAACAGACGGGAAATTAATAAAAGCCCTTAATACTGAGTTTATTTCTCAAGCTGTATCATCAGATCAAGATAGACACTCGCAATCGCACTCGATAATCGTATAATGACACTCTCACCTCCCAACGCGAGCCCGCGGGCAGCGAAACCAGGTCGATCCTCAATGGCTGAAACGTCCCAAATCGTGATCCACCGCGACCGCGGGTCTCGGCATGAGATGGAGTTGGGGAAACAGCTCGGGCCAATTTCACATGTTTTCACTTTCCTTTAAGAGCTTCAATAGACCTCAATCGCAAGCTTCTCATCGCGATTATTTGCTTGCAGTAGTGCTCACTCTCCACGAATCAATTTACATCTCCTGTCAGATTTGAAGACTTGTCAGCAAAATGGCCGAAAGAAAAACTTACGTTCTCATCACTGGGTAAAGCAATTGACCTCTAGATTGTTGAGGATTGAAGCTGATGAGAGTAGATGCTCGCCTGGAGGTATCGGCCATTCTCTGGTGGATGAGTTTCATCGTCAAGGTGAGTTGAATGATTGAGGAAACGTCAACTGAGTACTGACTCACTCTTACAGGCTGCCATGTCATTGCGACTGTGCGAAACACAGACATGATCAAGGATCTCGAAAAGCCCGGCGTCAGCGTCTTGCCTCTTGAGATCACCTCCGCCAAGAGCATTGAAGAGTGCAAAGAGAAGGTCTCAGAACTCACTGGTGGCCGTCTCGACATTCTCGTCAACAATGCGTAACTTCACCCGTCAGATTACTCAGTACATGGCGCACAACTAACTTCCCCAGTGGCCGAACTCACACCATCCCTTCCATTGACACAGACCTTGACGATGTTCGGCAAACATACGAGGTCAACGTCTTCGGCCCAATCCAGATGGTTTCAACCTTTGCGCCTCTCCTCATCGAAGCCCGTGGTCTCATCATCAACATCTCCAGCACATCCACCCTCGTCCCTTACATCTTCGGCGCCATCTACTCCTCCACCAAGGGCGCCATCAACGTCTGGTCCCGCGCGCTCCGTCTTGAACTCAAGCCTTTCAACGTGCGCGTCATGGTCGCCGTCACCGGAACTGTGCGATCCAACATCGCCAGCCGGACACATCGATCTCTGCCGCCCAACTCTCTGTACATGCCAATCAATGACTTTTTTCAGCGACGATTGACGTTTAGTCAGCGCACGGCGACGATGCCGACGGAGAGGTATGCGGAGAAGTTGGTGACTGCTGCGTTGAAGGGTGAGGGGTATCTGGGCGGGCTGATTGGGGGTTCACCCGACTGGTTTTACGCAGGAGGCATGGCGACCAAGACTTGGATCCTGTCGTGTTTGCCTAATTGGGTGAACGAGACGGTTATTGGCATCTTCTTCGGCATCGGAGGGTTGACCAAGAAGATCCAAGCTGCGCGCGCAAAGAGAGACTAGAGAGAAGGCCAAGTTTGGAATAATGGAGGATGAGACTTGATCACGGCAGAGTATAAGGCGCTGCGAATTGGGTTCATTGAACTTATTCAGTATAGCACCTTTGAGGAACTCCCGAAATCACAAGTCACTAAGCTCCCAGAGAGCGACAAAGTGTGCAAGAGAATTGAATGCTGTATACTGTTTGTGTATGCTGCTTATTTCTATATCTCCGACGAGTGATCTTCTTGACTGCTGCGATGGACGTCACCGGCGTCGCACCGCGCTCTCCATGAATCTAACGACCGACCGTTTAAGCCCACTTGCCAAGCAAGCTCATGAGAACCATGCCGCAAACCAAACCAAACAGAGCCAAGATCGTAGTAAGGGGGCTAGCATCGCTGAGCTCGCCTCCCAGCATCCAATCCTGAGCCCACATCTCAACCAGACCAACCCAGATGAGGATACCAGCGGAAAAGGCATCCAGCGTACCGATGACGATCAAGGTAGTAGGGTTATTTCCGTTGAACTCGTTCAAAACACCAATACCAATGGCCATGCCGATAGGGGTGACGACCGCGAAACCGGAAGCAAGGACGAGTTTCTTCCACAAAGGTATAGTAGATGTTCCGGTTCGTTCAACGGTTGGAGATGGTGTAGAGTGGGAGTGGGAGTGACCCAGAGCGAGAGGCATTTGACCGTAGCCTAGAGAGGCGATTCGTGTACCGAGGGCGATACCTTCGAAGAGCTGGTGGAAGATGATGACGATGGAGAGAGTGACGAAGAAGGAGTCTCCCGCTACAACAAGGGTAATACCGATGACTGAAAACGTTAGCTGGGGTATATAACAAGAGAGACGGACGTACGGATCGAGTGGAAGATGATACCAGCTTCCATGATAGTAATGTTGGCCATCTCGGCTTTCTCCACAGCCTTAGGTGACAAGTAAGCCGATTCGGAGTCGGTCTTCTTGGCCAACTGCCATCGCATAGCACGCTGAACACAGAACTCGATAAGGAATGAAATGAAGAGACCAGCCATGACGATAGCAGCAGTGGTAGCTTCGTATTCCAGCCCGCCTATACAATCGTTCCCGAACATCATAAACGCATGGGTGAACAACTACAACGGTCAGTTATTGCCACCAAAGGGAGTGTGTAAACGTACGTGAACAAAGGCAGTGGAGATAATAATTCCAGTACCGAATTGCTTGAGAATCGTGAGGACAAGGTTGGATCGCACGGGAACAAACGTCGACATGAGGATCGGTCCAAAGACACCGATGGAGCTGGCGACCAAAACGACGAACAACATTCCAATACGAATGCCGATCTTGTAGTCTCTGTCTTTACGACCGCAGCTTGGCTCACCGCTCTCTTCGGAGCCACCGCCGACGCAGTGTCTGTCGCGAGTTAGTCAAATTCTCGAGGGGATGAAGGGGCTACGAACTCGACGCCGGCGTGGAAATGACAATGTTCTTCCTGAGGGTCTGCTTTACCGGATTCGACATCTACGGCTGGGAGGATGGGAGCTTCGCCATCGTCGGACATGCAGTAACTACAATTGTTAGTAGGAGCTGGCTGCGAGGGAAGAGGAACGCACGTTTCTTCGCCATGGCTGTGGCAGCTGGTGAGTTGAGCGGGATACTCCTCGGTGTTGGTGATGGTAGTTTGAACGTAGTACTCGGATGAGCTAGGACCCATGCAGTAGCTGATCTTGTTAGATGCGCATGTTTTATCGATAGTGGAAGAGCGAACTTACAGAGAAGCCTCGTGCATGTGGCAGTTTGATACGGCAGTGATCTCATCATTGTTTGCGGCAGCAGTTTCTTTGGCGGCCTGGGTAGTAGCTGTGGCACCTTCCGCGAGGACCTTGACTTCTCCGCCGTTGGGATTCATGCAGTATCTGACCAGTTAGCGGCGCCAGAATGTCAGGGAATAAAATAACATACGTGTCTGAGCCGTGGCTGTGGCAGTCTGTGTACGAAGTAGGAGGGTCCTTGGTCATGGTAGCCTCGAGAACGATCTGATACTCGTCCGAGCCATCCATACAGAATCTGAATTGTCAGTATATCTTGCGACAAGGACAAAGGAGGCACGCACTGAGTAGGACCATGCATATGACAGCCCGTCAAGCTCTCAAAGTCAAGACCAGTCTTGGTCGCAGTGGCAGACGCCTGTCTCTTGACAGCCCCTGGGTTCGCCGTCGCAGAGACAGCGACGACGAAGAGGAGAGACCCAGCGATCATAGTGGCACGACGGCTCTCGAAG